TCTCACTAAACTGTTTAATGTTTTATATTATCTGGCCTCCAGTTATCTAAGCTCTTCTTTTAAGGAATATTGTTAGATTAATTAGTTTTTATAATTTACCAGCTGACTAGATGTTTCAGTGAAGTACTTCTAATTAGTATGATGTATATGTAATTTCATAAGAAAGTGGAATAGCATTGATTTGTTAAAATTACATGCAAATATAGCATTGCATTTGAACCAGATCAATATGAGTAATTAACATGCATGTATATAAATACTGTTTCTCCTTCCATATATTGTGGATTATATTTGTATACTGAGATTACTAGTGGGAAAAGTAATATTTATTTGGGATTGTTGTAGTGTGACACAATTCCATTTCTATATACTAGGTAAGAGTAATCTCCCAGATCTTCATCGGTGGCTGACAGTAACTCAGCATAACCGAGCAGGTAGGAGAGAAAGGGTAACTTTAAGTCAGAGTTGTTCTACCTTGACTTTGGAAGGCTGATCTGGGCTAGACCAATTCCCTGCTGAAGTTAGAGCAGCATGAGGAAAAGAAGCTGAAACTTCTTAAAAAGCATATTACCTTACAAATGTGGACTTCTGCAAATGATTTCACTGTGTGATCGTGATTGTACCCTTGCTTAGCAAAAAGGGAGCTCATCATTAAAGATCAGAGAATGTCTTTTTGGTACAATCTGAACATTTTCCCCTCCCCTCTATTCCTCCTTTTTTCCAGCACAGTTTTGGCACAGTGATAACATTACATTTCACTCTATTATGACAAGTACTTTCTGTATAATTTTGCTAAAGAACAAGTGACTATCCTTTGAACTCTACTTTGGAGAGCTTGGAAGGGATCTACATGCTAGCAAAAGACCTGAGAATTCACAAAAAATGCCTAATAATTTCACCACTGTCAGATTAGATTGAGTTTTGGTCATTCATGTAGATTAGATTTAGCCCAGGTGCTCAAAGTGAAAGGAATTGCACTAATCGGTAGTGACACACTGTCCTTACCAATTAAGTGAGTTCTGAGGGCTCTTCTAGAGTGGGGCAAGATCCTGTAAGGCATTTTGCACTCCTCTCCCACAGACTTCAGTGCAGTTAAGGCCATTCAGCCCCTCAAAAGAGTCACTCAGCAACTTGTAGCACTGGACCCTAGAGAAAGCATGAGAAGTTAGGTAAAATAGAGGTTTCTATGAGTATTTTAGAAGTTGAGGACAAATTATTTTAAATTTACATTTTAAGGGAGACTGTTTTATTAAATCTTTACTATGTATGCCTGCGGTGTACCTCTTCATGTGATCAAAATGTGTCTGTCAAGATTTTGATTAGCCGGTTGACATTTAAACTGAATTAATTTGGATGTACTGACTTTCTAAAGCTGCATATTGTTTTTGTGAAATGGATGAATTTATGTGCAGTGCTGAAGGTCATGCACTAATAAAATTCTTTAAAATCACATATTGAGAGTGCCATGATTTTAAGAATTTTTAGAAGAGGCATTACAAAAGTAATAGTACATTAGTATTAGAAGTGAACAATGAAGGCCAACGTACTGAAAACAAGATACAAGGAAGTTCTTCATTGAACTAAAGCTCACAGTATACATTTATTGCTTACATTATCTGAGTTACTGAATGCACCCATTGCATAATTTAGGGTAATGGTTCTCAAATTTTTGTATTGCTGACCTCTTACATAGAGCCAACCTCCAAGTGGGACTACTTTTATAAGTTAAAACACTTTTTATGTTTAACACAATTACAAATACTGGAGTTGAAGCGGGATTTGGGGGTGCAGGCTGACAGCTCATGACCCCTCTTATAAATAATTTTGTGACTCTCACAATGGTCATTACCCCCAGTTTGAGAACCCTGATCTAGGGAAACAACAATTGAGTCTGTTGCTGTAGTAAAACAACTGTCAGGTTATACTGCTTTGAATTAAATCACATCAGATGTAACAAACAACTAAAATGTTTATATCTTATTTTTCAGTCAATGAAATCTTAACTGGTTTCTTTTACCATGTACTTTACCAAAGAAACACTGGTTGTAAATGTGATGCAAAGTTCTCTGACAATAGTCTGGTGGGAATTATTTAAAGATGCATTTCCTTTTCTTGTTAAGCTTGTCTCATCTTTGTTGAATTATTTATTATGGTAAGCTAGCTTTTTTTTTTTTTTTTTTTTTTCCAAAGCTCAGGTCAAGAAATTTGTCCTTTTTGTAATAGTTTCAGAAGACTGGACGTTGGTGATATGAAAGAGATATGGGATGTAACTTTAATTGCTGATGATTTTGTCAGCCAGCGCTAAGCATAATCAAATGTTTAGAGCCCTAAGAAGCTCAACCCCTATTAATTATTATTATGTGTTGTGTGTCTACAGCACTGGTATTATACAAGTCCTTACAATATCAATTTTCAAAAGTCCTGTTTGAAAAAGAGATTATATATTCATTTCTGCTGATTAACTCATTCATATACCCTAGTTTAGTAAGAAGAATAAAACCAGGTAGAATTTCAACTATTAAAACAACAAATAGAATAGAATTAATTACTTCTCCAATAGTAGGGGCTTTCCTTGGGAAACATACAACTAGAAATTAGGTTTAACCGGCACTAATTCCTTATACAGGTTGAACCCCTCTAGTTCAGAACTTCCTGATCTAGAAACATCCATGGTCCAGAATGATTTTTAGTTAGCTTGATGTCCACTTTTCATGGATGTAGCCAAGTTTCCTGCGATCCTATAATGTTTGTTTACAGCCACCCGTTCTAGCTCTCAGTTTTCTGTACTGTTATTTAGCTTTAATTTACCCATAAATGTTCTCTAACAGCCCAGTAAGTAGTTAAGGGGTTGGTAAAGCTGCTAGACAATATTGACTGCCTGTGGTCCGGATAATTCGCTGGTTCGACCTGCATTGGATTTGCCAAACCATTAGTCCATCGACTCCAGCCCCTACTTGCAGATGTGGTCAATACCAAGTTTCCCCATACCCTGCAATAATCAGTTCATGCATCAAAACATTAATTTGATTGTCTTTTAATGGTCACTAGTAAGAAAAAAGTCATGAAATATCCATCCCATTTTAAAGTGCTCCCATAAAACCAAATCCTGGAGAAATGAGTTCACAGTATTTGGGTGCAATTGATGCTATTTACACTAGAGCAAGGACCTGCTCTCAGATGGATCACAACTTAAATCAGAAATAACTCCACTGAATTTAGTGGAGCTATGCCAGTACAGTATCAGAATAAGTTGATGTTCCGTGACAGTGAAGTTACATGCTGTGTGTAAACTTTCTGCCTGATGGTATCGGTGAACCCAGCCCTTGTTTCTGCTATCTAGGGGTTCTTTTTAATACTACAAAACAGAATCCGCTTGTGTCCTCTGAGGTATTCTGCAAAGGCTAAATTAGGCAAGGGAGGCCCAGTCACCCAGTGAAGCAGCGAAGGCTGCCAGGAGGAAGTTTGTGCCAACACTGTTTAAGAGAAGGGAAAGGAGGGAATTAGGGTGACCAGATGTTCTTATATTAGGGGCTTTATCAAATATGGCCAAATATACCTCCCCTAAATAGCCCAATTTTTTCACATTTGCTATCTGGCCACCC